GATTTTCACCCCTTTTAGTTATTTTGTTTTCATTCTATGTGAATACTTTCACCCAATCTTTGTTCACGTCTGAGTTCGATCTTCTTCCCAAATTGTTGAGGAACGCCATCTTTTCGGATATTTAGACTTTCAAAGTTTCACATTTAACGTTTCGATCTGATCATATCAGCTGACGTTCTCCAGCACGCATACGCTACGGGTAGGCTACTTTGTGACGCTCTCACTCGCCTTGCTACTTTATGCTTGTCAATTCAGTTCTTATTAAGACGCTTTTATATCTGTCTGCCTAGAAACCGATATTTGGCTGATTGATTGATTAGCACGTAACACTTATCATTGTCAGCAGCGCGCGCGAAAAAATGACCCCTGTTATATTTGTTGATCCACTCTGGTCAGCGTGGCTGCAATCCGAAGTCACATCATTGACACGTCTTGTTTGAGTTTGTCAATTAGCTTGTTATGAAATGAAGGGCGTGCGCCGAAAATCAAAACCAGCTATGGCGATTTGGATTTAAAGATGCCGCTTTGTATTCTGTAGTCAATATAATCCTGTATGTGTAGTATTCCTATTCTCCTCACTAATATATAGGATGTTGTGCCAACCGACAAGCTCTATTGCTCGATTATATTGTTTTTGATATCCAACTGCTGTATTGTGTTTTTATTTTTCTGTCAGTCTCCCTTCTCCTACACCGGTGTTCGTAACTCAGCGATGATCGCTCAGAAGCAAACGAGCGTGCTTGCTTCTTTTCGGTCCCATTGATTTAGTTGATGATATTCTGTGATAAATTTTGTAGTATTGTATGTGGGAGATATCTACATGTATGTCTAGCTGTAGAAAAGCATTAAAAATGCTAGCCAACAAGAGGGAGAGGAGTTATTTGAAAATCACATTGTTGTTGAAATAGTGACCTGTGGGTTTCCTGTAAAATATGCAAAAACGTCACACTTTCATTTCTGAAGGCATACTTACATTGAATAATAGGTAGAGAACATCAATTCTCAGTTTTATGAGTACTATAGAGGTTTGGGCAGAGAGTCCTCTCAAAAAGAGCACACCTCGATCTGCAGAAGTGCAGACCGGTGCCTCAAATCTTGTTTGGTACTTGTCGAAAAGAGACGTACAAGAGTGCGATAGTTGTCATACTTTTGCTGTGTTACATGAATCTATCCCTGAACTGTGATGTCTTTCACACATGCATCAATCTCTGTTATACAATAGTCTCAGGAATCAGTTGAAGTATTTAAACTCGCTCACATGTCTGACACCAAATATATGACAGGCTGTAGATGGAAATATTGGATTAAGCAGATCAGAACTCGGTAGCTATGCTTTTATGTAACTTACCTTATATACAATAGTATACACTCTGTTATCAACATATAATTAAGTTCGTCGTGATCTACCTGTAGGATCTTAAGAGGTGCCCATAATTGCTTTTATGGTTAGACTACAACATTGCGAGCTGCTCTTTGTCAAGTTAACCTATTGTGCAACGGCAACGGACTCGAAGTTAATCGAACACAATTATCTTAGTGATAGTTTTCCATTCTGTGCTTGAGGTAAAACGCAATTATCGCTGCAGATCATGGCCTCCCATCAGTTCAAGAGGCTAATTATGGTAGACTATATTCTCCGACTATCGATTCCACTCAGATAAAAAGATTAGTGATACCACGGTACACTCGGCAACCTAGGAATTAATGAGAAGGTACGCTTTTGTGATACCTACTTTGAAGAGGTGCTTTGACGACTCTATGTTGAAGAGTCTTTTTTCAAAATGGCGAATATATTTATGCCTATAAGGTTTCAGAAGGAAACGCTTATTAGAAGTCATGCAAAATCACTATATTATACAGGCCTTGAGTTTGGGTTTACAATGCTATCTTTTTTGTGAAAGAGCATGTTCCCAGAAGTGTGAATTCTTAAGAAGTCAGCCGCAAGACGATTTAAAGGTGTGTCAGTGCAATTCGTCAAACGAGACTTCTGGGCTACTCATTCAGTATTTTTAGTATTCATTGTATGCATATATGACCGTGGAGTTGACAAGCAACGAATAATTAACCGCATCAAAAACAAACTGAACGCATGAATATTCCACAAAGCGAGCAACAGCAATGATTAAATAGGTTAAATAACAAAATAAAAGCAATGAAATGACCATAGGTTAAATAACAAAATAACAGCAATGAAATGACCAAGCTCCCAAAAATGATGTCGACCAACCAAGTGCGTAGATAAAATTTAGATTAAGAAAATATTTTCAAAGTTTATTTACTTCTGTTCAACTACAAATATGCATTCCCCTAAATGTTCTTTTGAGCGAACCTTTACGAATTTTATCACGCTAGATTCGACTTTTGACTCACCCATTTGAACGACGTTGTTTCGAGTTTTGAGCGCTTCTGTCAGTAAGCATTTCCTAATTTTTTTTTTTGAGTTGACCTTAGTGGTAATCGACAACTGTTTCTACCCTTATTTTGATCAAAATCTGGGCTCGTATGAACACTCATCTAGAAGAGAAGCCCTAAGATCCAGCTGTGAGTACTCCTAAGGAAAGTCACTACTTGGCTTCTATGTATAGGCACAGTCCTAACGTCAGGTTACGGCTTAAGATTATCATGCGTCAAGAGCATTTCCATCAATAAAGCTCTTTACCATTGATGCACTTTTGGCTATCTATGCTGTACGGACAAAAAACCTGTTTCCCAGATTCTCCCTCTACCTTACTCTTTACTCTTCACTATTAGCTAAGTAGACAGAGACTACTAGAAGAAGTTGAATGTCGTCGAACCCACACTGAAATAATCATCGGCTTTCCCCCTCTCTAGATTTCCATTACAAGGTGTATTCACGAAAGTATATGCAAGAAAAAAATCTGTTGCTCTGTGGAATTAATGAGAGAAGTCGTTCGCTGTGAGATGTCAAATTCGCTGAGATGCTGTCGCGCACAATCTGGAAAGGTAAGCAAGGCTGGGCCTAATTGGTATTTGGATCGCAGGCGACATTACAGTTTAAAAAGTCGTGAGCGATTCTTTTTATCTATCTCTATATCACTAGGTGTGTATACGGTATTTGGTTGGAAACATGAACGTTGGCAGTATCTATGAGAGCACCGGTGCTGTACTCGTTGTAAAACCCGAAAATTCAGACTGGCTCGAGTCTTTTTCCGTCTTTTCTCCGTAAGTCGGTTCATGTGGGGTGTTCCATTAGCTGAAGATACAGTTGAACTAAGCTCGTCAAGCTCTATAAGCGGATATCCTAGTGTATTAGAAATGCTTCGTCTCAAACTGCGCCATACGCTTGAGTTCCATTCGGAAAGTGATTGCATGTAGGTGGGATGCACGCTTCAGGGGGGACGTTCGATTCGTGCGATTTCGGGTGTTCACGGCAAATTGCGCGGCGAGATTCGCGATTATTCAAACAACTCCTGCGCCTATCACTGGGGCACGAACTTGAAGTAGAGTACTTTAGCAGGGTTGGACAAACCTGCTAACCTACTTTACTTCGAGTTCTGGCCCCAATGATAAACGCAGCAGCCGTCCAAATCGTACCGAATTTCGCCGCGCAGTTTGCCGCGCGCACCCAGAATCGCACGAATCGACACACACCACACTTCAGTGCATGTACGAGCTGATTGGTCCGTGAGGATTG